TCAACCAATCAGAAGACACCTAGACATGCGCACTGTCTCGACTATATAAGATGGAGAATGCGGCTGCGTCTCATTCCACTCTTTAACTTCGTTCGGAGAACAGCAACAATGCCACGAGCAGGGTAGTTTCGTCGGGGTCTCTCGGTCCAGCCAAGGGAAAGCGCCTGCCTCTGTCCCTTCTTGTCCAGATTTGCACACCTATACACCTCCAACGAAGATGGCCGCCAGGTTCCAAGCCTTCACTTGTCAGTTCAAGGTGGTCGTCATCAACGCGGGCTTTGCCTACGATGGCACTCCACGCCGTTGTATCTCACAGGTTAGGTTCAGTCGAAATTTTGGGGGAAGGGACCGGGATATTTTTGCAGAACCTTTGGGTTATTCGTTAAGGGGGTACGCTGGTTTTGGACGGCCATCGGAATTTTGTTCAGGGTGATCGTATTCACCCTGATCAAAATGTAGGGTTACCATGGTTACTGCTTTGAGTCTCCAAATTGTAAGATTAGGCGGGATAATTTGGGGGGTGCGGGGGTTCATAGGCAGTGGTGCTTGTACTAGCCAAGACTTAAGCTGGTTTTTATAGTGCTAGCCCACTGAGATACCATATCACAGTGAAACATGAATACCCCACTCAGACGCATTGTACTGACTCCGAGCCGACCAGTCCTTGTTGTACCCATTAATGCCGAGCGCCAGGCAGGGACCGACCAGTGCCATCTTTTAACGTCCTTTCGTATGACGCGGTCGGGGATCGAACCAGCAACCTTCCACTCTCCGGGCGGACGCTCTAACCACTACACCACGGAAGCGGTACAATTCTGTATTAAGCTGACAGTAGGCAAAAAATATCATAATGTTTAACCCCGATGACACAAGGACATACATGTCCTTCCTCTTCAACCCTCACTTTTTAAAAATCAAGCATTCAAATACACTTCACAGTTTCGAATTCTGCGGGACATTTCCTGTTTCGTGATACCATCCACTGTTATCTTAAATTAAAGTACTGAACATGACCTCTCAAAAAAGGCTTCATCATAAATGTCGCCATTTTTGACTCATTACGAAATGGCGATTCACTGCGGTATTTGGTATCTGATTTCCTCATACATTTTAGAATCAAATTACAACTGGTCTTTGTGACCAATACCAACTGTGGAGATGAAATGAAAGGAAAGATACTGGGTGAGAAAACGAACTGTGTTCGAATGACAGCATTTGTTTGAAATGTAAACAAAGAAAAATTCGGACTTTACACGTGTGTAGCATTTTCTCAAATTTACAGACATCCATTCGTCTATTCGTAGCATATGCATTTGCTCAATACTTTAAAATATGCATGGAAAGGGTGTCGTAGCAAGAAATAGCAAATGATAACTAGATGCAATACAGTAATGAGATATGTTTACACGAAATTGTCAATGTTTCTGTGCAGCGTGACGCCATGACTGACGCAAAATCACACAGAACAACAAGGGTAATTATCGACATTTCTGGCTTCTTCTCTTACCTACAATGAAAACGATAAAAACAAAAAACAATTCACAGCTAATTTCTTTGAGAGGCATTTTAGAAGTTGTGAAGATGAAGGAAAACTGATTTCTATGGATAGTCAACTTCTTTATTGCAATGAGTGCGACGTTTCGGTGTAGGTACTAACACCGTTATCAAGCAAGTGATACAACAACTGAAGCAAGGAGAATATATACATAGCTGTATAGTGAGTATATACAATTAACAAGGTTGATGTACATTGGATATTAGATAAGTGATTACAGCAGAGGAGGTTGATGTAAAGAGTGATTGATTGTGATTGGACAAAGGAGGTAGGGAAGCCCTTACCATCATTCGGAAAAGACTCCAAGACCTCCACCCTGACCTAGACACCCACCTCAGCATTGACAGTATAATCCGCCTCATCGACTCCTGCATCAGCTCAACCTACTTTACCTGGTCAGACAAGATTTACCAGCAAACCCATGGGCTACCCATGGGTTCTCCTCTCTCCCCTATCATCACTGAGATATACATGACGGAACTAGAAGACAAGGCCCTGCTGACATCACCCATTGCACCAATTTGCTGGTATAGAAAAGTAGATGACACCTTTGTAGTTCTCAACCCCAACGACAACCCTGGACACCTCCTCAACCACCTGAATTCCCAACATCCCCGTATGCAGTTCACAATGGAAGAAGAATCTGACAACAAGCTCCCTTTCCTCGACGTCCTAGTAAAGAAAGAAGACAACAAGCTCTCCACTACTGTCTACAGGAAACCCACCCATACCGACCAATACCTTCACTTTACCTCCAACCACCCGCTACAGGTTAAGAAAGGCATCATATCCACTCTCACCCGGAGAGCTAAGAACATCTGCTCGACAACGGAAGCCCTAGAAACCGAACTTAACCACATCCGCCATGTCTTCGTCCATTATAACCAGTACCCCCAAAAGCTAGTCAACAATATCATCACAACCACCCTCAACCCAACAGATAAACCACCCCGCCGGTAATCAGCACCCTTTGTAATAAGTATCCCGTATGTCCAGCAGCAGTCAGCCACCAGATAAGACGACTCCTTCAGCAGCAAGCAAGCATAGACGTCCTGTTCCAAAAAGGCAAATCTATCCAGAACCTCCTCCAAGCCACAGGCAAACCACCGTCAACAACAAAAGATGACCCCTCGGGAGTAGTCTACCAGATTCGTTGTCAATGCGGAGACTTCTATATTGGTGAAACATCCCGCCCGCCCCACTACGAATCAAGGAACATAAATCGTCAGTCCAGAAAAAAACGACTCCAAATCCGCCATAGCTGACCACACCCAAAGCCAACCCCTGACCATGCCATCCTATGGAACAACATCGATATCCTAGAAATCAACCGACAAGACTACCAAATTAGGAAACTCCTTGAAGCCATAAACATCGAACGCCACAACCCCACCATGAATCGAGATCAAGGTTATTTCATCTGGTCAGCCTATTACCACCTAATCAACGACCACCACCAGTAATCCTTCCCTACCTCCTTTGTCCATCTGGCTTCCATGCTCCCTCCTTTGTGCTTGTAATCACAACTATAGTACGTCAACTCATCAATTGTATAAACTCAACTCTAATCACAATCAATCACTCTGTACATCAACCTCCTCTGCTGTAATCACTTATCTAATATCCAATGTACATCAACTTTGTTAATTGTATATACTCACTATACAGCTATGTATATATTCTCCTTGCTTCAGTTGTTGTATCACTTGCTTGATAACGGTGTTAGTACCTACACCGAAACGTCGCACTCATTGCAATAAAGAAGTTGACTATCCATAGAAATCAGTTTTCCTTCATCTTCACAACTTCTTGTGACCATGGTTTCTGCCCTGACCATGGTTTGTCTGGTCCAGACTCAAACCCGGCACATAACAGGCGAGATGGTTCAGCGGCCGGTTGGGGGAGACACTAACACTTAAAACAGCTAGTGTTTCTATAAACATATGGGGGTCCGCTAATCGTGGTTTCGAATCCTAGGTGACTCTTGGTCTGCCATCATCTCGGATGTCATTAAAAGGGCTAAAGTCTTGGTTGACGCATATGTCATCGGTTCCCAATTGCGCAGATCGATGCTCATGCTGTTGATCACTTGATTATCTAGTATAGACTGGATTATTTACAGACCACCGCAATATTGCTGGAATTTTGCTGAGTGCGGCGTAAAACTAAACTCACTCACTCTCTCTCTTTCTCTCTCTGAGTACACGCGCGCGCGCACGCACACACATACATATATGTAAGAAACACTTTCAGCAAATGGTTTCGATGACGAACAGGATCTAACAGAAGCGTCATTGAGCACAGGCGCAGTACAGCACTTTATATCCTCCTGTATATGTACAGTCGTATATTTCCTGCAGACATTCTTCACCAATGGCGTTTAATATCAACGGTTATAGGTGAAATGCGTTATGTTTTCAGAATATCCCTGTATAAATTCAAGGATATAATATACCAACACACTTACGATGATTTTACCAGAGTTTTAAAAGTGTTTAAATGCAATTATTCACAATTCTAACAGAGGGCATTTTGGGGTCAAAATCTGTAGAAATCTGCGAATCTCTTAGACTGGTTCCCATTTATTGCTAGGACAGACTGGAACTTTGTTGGTTCTCGGCTGCCACAGTGCGCTGTATTATCGTATATTGCAATATGAGAGACGGGACCCAGCTTTGGACGATCAAGTGCAGCGACACCAAGCGGATGATGCAGTGTGCGAATAAAAATGGCCACCATGCAAGAAGATTTTGGAGATTTCTTGCCCAATGATGATCGGTCATGTGCGACAAATACCAAGTGTCAGGCAAGAGAGACCGATGCAGTTTGTGCATTAGGTAATGTACCATCATAGTCTAACGATTTAGATTGATAAGAATGTTTAACACCGGTTCCTGAGTTGAATGATGAGCTGACAGGCTGATATGGCACTGTTGTCTTCGTGAGAAGTGAGCTCACAAGAGAAGACGTATTTTTGATTAGTGGTAATCACAGTTCTTGCTGTATATATAAACTTGGACATTGTGCTGTATGGACTCGAGTTGTGATTTTCTATCAATTGTCTGTTCGTGTATTTTGGTACCCGACGGTGTCGATAGTTGCGGGTGACATGTGTTTCGCCCTGTCACCTGTTTTCGTGAGTATCCTATCTCGTGGTACATTTTTACAGGTTTCGCTGCCTGGGATGTGAGGGTGAGGCTTATATCAGGTAAGGCTAGGTTATCCAACCCTTATCATTATCCGTAAGACCCTTTCTCTTATCAAACAGCTCTGGACCAAGAATACTGATCCACTTGCTGCATGGGTACCTGGCTGGCTAGGCAGTGACTAGCAAGCTGCCTGGATTCAGGACTGGCTAGGCAGTGGGCTAGGTAACCCATTCAGGTGGCTCATGGGCAGGTGACCCTCACCATTGGCTGGTTAGGTAGGTGACTCTCACTGGGTTAATGGTTAATTCTGATGTGTAGTTTGAGTATAATAATGTACAATTGGGATTGAGAGTTCAGGCAAATCGGTGCAGGGTTGAAGGATATCTGTCCCTGTTTGAAACAAATGCAGCTGTGCAATGTTACCCCATGTAGGACAAGATAATATTTGCTTTACACTTGTTTCAGGTCCTGCCTGATAAACAGTTGGACACAAAGCTTAAGAGATGCACAAATGCAGTCCCAGGCAGTCAGCCACCCAGTGCCATCCAACCTTGACTTTGAACCAGTGAGAACTCTTCAGCACGAACCTGGGTAACTGTGTGACAGGGCACATGTATTGCATGTGCATTGGTTAAACTATTGGTGAGGTTTAGGGGTGTGTTAACTCTTTTGTACTCAACCTAGTGACTAACTAAGGTAGCTAGGTGACAGGGCACATGTATTGCATGACACAATGAATACTGGTCATCGATGTCTGGAACCTGTGCCATATATAGATGGGTCAGTTGTATACATATGTCCATGCTCGGCCTTTTGACACAGACATGGTGCATGATGTGGTTGTCAACTTCATTAGTCTTCCTATAACGTCTCAACAGTGCTGACATGGTGTTTCACAGCCTCCTGACATTGAGACATTACCCCACGGGCCATCCCAGTAGCCTCGTGTTATTGTGCAGTCATGAATAGTGGCATGATGTGGGGTTTATTAACTGCTGAAATTTTTGAATGATCAAACATAAGACTTAATTAATTAAGCTTTTTGACTTGAAATTAGTTTTTGACATTCCCGCAGTTTATCATGATGCACCAACTTATTGCATATGCTCATGCCGAAGCCACTGATGTCATGAAATTTGTTGAATTAAAGTCACTAATGACTGGTTACATCGGTATTTGTGTACAGATGCAGTTCAAATATATATTTTGATTTAGTATGTGCACTTTCTCTTTGTGGCTAGTATTTTAGTCCCCCTATAATGCAGGTGGCGCTGAAAGTATATGTCTTGCCATGTTAAACAAGGTTAATTTTCAGTACTGTCGTCATTTAAATGAGGTGAAGCAACTGTAGTGTATATACAGCCATTGTGGAATGTTGTACCCAATGTGCTTGGTGCCTTCACAGCTGGTGAACATATAACCCTTAGCATGCTTGGTGATTAAGGTTTTTGTGTGTAGTTTTGCTTTGTTTAAGGATACCCAGGCCTGTGTCAAAGTGGAATCACATGTTATATGGAATGGAGGTGGGTGTGTTGATAATGTGTGCTGAGTGTCTGTAAGAGAAACAATACATGGTTGTGTGGGGTATTCAAGCCAATGGATAAGGGTGGGTGGGGGGATAATTTGAAATATTAGGTGCAGAGTTATTTCCCTTGATTGTTGACAGATTGCATAAAGGTTATACTACACTAAATGAGAATTGCTTGCTCACTGAGCCAGACCGTATGTAAACAAGTGAAGAGATAGAGACATGTGACAGCTGTGATTGGATGAAATAGTGTAAGATGTTTATGTTTTTTAAAAGCATATCCAACCAGTAATTAAAACTGACCACAATTTTAAGTATTCAGTGCTGTGATTTTCATCACCATGACTTATGCTTATTGTGTGTACAGATATTTTCCAGTAGGTGACATTTGGTGCGGAACTGGGGTTGATGTGTTCCGCTTCCTGTGCTCGCAAAACAAGCCGGACAAGTTGGACAGATATTGTGTTTTATTGTAGTTTAAAGGCCAGAGTGTATCCATGTGTACATGGAATGGCTGTTGATAGCCTGGATAATTTTATAAAAAATATAAGGCTACTATAGAAGTCTATGGGAAAACATTTGGTGTTGTGTAACCTGTAGGGTAAGTGCATATTTCAGCAGTTCATAATTTATGGTTTTCCATGTGGATCTACTGCCATGGAAACATTTTGGGACAAATGTAGAGGGAATTTTGAAAGGAAAATGGGTGACCCAAGTGGTAAATTAGGTTGCAGGGACTGGTTGGGCAGCCGAGATAAGCAGGGCTATAGGCGGTGCTTCTTTTCGTGGCCGTCCAAGGCAGGGACCGAACAAAAAGCCCACAGAATAGCCCAATTCATAGCAAATAAATGTTTACCAGATGATTTGGTTAAAACTGACAGCTCTGGCAAAATAATTGAAGTGAGCCATCTCTGTCACTACACTTCTTGTGTAAACACTGACCATTTGACTGTCGAGACCCACGAACACAATATGGAAAGAATTCACTGTCGACAACAGGGCTTGTGCACCAAGAGTCATAAACCTTACTGTTTTATGTAAGCATATACATTATGTTGTTAGGTCTTTCTGTGTGTGGCCAGTTTTGGGTATGGATGATCCCCTCTTTGGTGTTGATGTCTCAAATATGCAGTATTTCTTTTCAATAACATGTCTTTTGAATATTGATTTTTTTTACAATGATGGAGTTTGAATAATTCTAACTTTTTCTTAGCACGGCAGTCCTTACTTATTTTTGATTTCTTGTATGTTTTAGCTTTAAGTACTTTATTGTGGCTTTTGCTGATTTCATTATCAATTTTACTTTTTGCAGTGACGGCACACCTGAGCCCATGTCAAGAGTGATTTTGCTGGACTTTTAAAGTTGACACTATGCTCAGCACTGTGAGCTCTGCCTTGGAAGTTCCGAGTAAAGGTTGTATCACAAAGTAATGACCTGCACAGTGCCTTGTTTGTAGCTTCACACTTTTTGACTGTTCAGGTTGAATTGGGTCTTGTCTATTATTTTAGGGCCGAGACGAAAGTCAGTGCATTTTCTCAAATTTTGAAAATGAATTTTATTGTAAGTAATTTTGAAGTTTTTATCCAAATATTTACTGTGTAATAACCAATTTTGCTTCCCCCCTTGCACACAAGTGACTGCTTTCTGCATTTAGTGTGATCTCCCATGTAACAGTAAGCAATAGCATCAGAGGTATATGACAGAGATTTCTTCAACCTTGGCAAGTCACCTGCATGACTTGAGTAAGCAGCTGAAAACTCAGCTGCACATCTGGATGCACAGTCTAAAGAAAATGTATTTGCCAAATTCTGTTTATCTTGTTTAGTTCTAGCAGGCATCATGTCCACAACAAATTTAGAATTTTTTATGAATTTTCTATGACTGGCTGATAGGTGCCTTGTATCGAGAAAGGTTTGCGGACAAACATCCATCTCCCCTGCTTCATACATTTCAGTGAGAGCTGTGTAAGCTGCACTATCAGCATCTGTTGTCAAAAATTCTACATCAATTTGGTCTTTCTTTAAGTCCCTGAAACACTCTGCAGCTAACTGTTTTTCATTTCCTATTGATTCTGACATGTGCAAATCAGCAGTGCAGTCTGAATTGTTTACACAAGAAATGTTGTCAACTAAACTGTGCTTTGAACAAAGTTTTGATTTTGTTTGTAGAGCTAATATTTGGTCAGGATAAGGGGCGTACCTGCGTAATGGACGCCTAAGTACGACATAATATAAGATTTCAAGCGTATCGTGTACGCACATAAATACCTTCATACGTCTAACATTTAATTTCTGTGCGTATCGTGCAAATGGAAATCTATTTCGGATAAATACTTGTTCAGTTTCATTTTGCGAAATACGATTTGACACATAAGGAAACCCCGACAGTAGGAATCCCTTGCGTTGCCATGCAACGATATGCGTCACTATTTTTCGATTGGCTAAAAACTACACTGTTCCTATTTATATCCAGTCGGACCTGACATTTCGCGCATCACACGGTCGCTCAGTTATTTCTCACGCGTCTTCAAATACAAATACATGGTTGGAAATAGTGATCGATGAATCGTCCAGACAAACCACATCAACTCGCTCACACAAAAACATGTCGGTACTCCTTCAAAATTCTCAGTACACCTTCACTTGCAATATGAAGTGTAAGTACACTCACACCCCCAAAAAGTTATCTGGAGCCCTGTTTGGTGGTCACAAGTCTCATTCTCAGTGGCTACATAGGTAACTTGAGTGGCTGGCTGAAAAGGGGTTTTCCCAACACCTGAACAAAGTGGGTTGTTGTACATGCCATCTGTAGACATGCTGACATTATTTAAATTTGTTCCCCTGTATTTATTTATTTCCCTCATTTCCACCCTCCTGGCCCTCATATCCTTCACATTTTGAGATTTAATATTATCACAAACTCTGTTTGCAGGTTTCTGGATGCCTGAACTCGATGGGGGTGGAATATCTGCACTCATGCAGAGGACACGGAAACTGTCACACCCCATGGGACATTTCGACAGGCCTATCTGGAGTCCAGTGTTAGCAGTGGAGGAGCGACGTCCCTTCTTTGCCGCAGCTACTTCTACCTCCTTGTAGAGCTCATGATGCTTAGACAGGTAGCCACAGTTGGTACATTTCAGTCTCTCTGTCCAGTTGAGGCCCCACTGCTGTTCATGCTCTATATCCATAACCAGGTCCCCCTCACAGTTTGTCGATGTCGTGGCATGCTCACGAAATGCCTCATTGAACAGTTTCTCTGTGTCCCCAACGTGGAACAGATGATACACATCAGCAGCAGCCCTGCAGATTTAAAATAAACCCCACTGACAACTTGGGAAACTTCTAAATGATTATTTACAATATGTTGTTGTGTTTGACATTTGTGAATTATCTCCCTTGCTGTATTTTCTATTTCTATCCCAGTTTATCCTATCATTATGGTATTAAAACACTGGGTTTTTTAATTGGTTTTGAAAAAACACTCATTCATGAGTCTGAATTTGGCCACTTACTTCACTTAATCACTGAAAAATGTGAATAAAATTGAAAATGTCTTATGTCACCTTGTTTAAAGATGAATTCTTTTAATGAGGCAAGTTTGGCCATCCAAATCATTTAACAATGAGGACTTTTTGTTACCTGCAAGTATTTCAAAGCTTGGGTGACATGAATTAGTAGATTATAGTCATCTTACCTGTCACTTTTTGTTTTCAGTGAACAATCCTCCTCCTGATGGGTGTTTCTCATCCTCGGCGTTAACAGGCGGTATGGCAGACTGGTGAGCGTTTGTACTGGCTGGACTCCAGTCACCCCTGCACTTGGCACTTTCTTATGTAGCTCAGGGGGTCAACCTGACAGTCTGGGGCACTTTAAATCTACTTTGCTTTTCCCTGGGTTGTTTTTCACCAAAGTTCCAAGGCTTATTTCCCTTTTTGAAACAACTTTTCGAACATTTTCGGTGTGGTGCCATGTTTCCAGAGTATGTCCAAGATGCTAACTCCCCACTCATTACTGATACCTACATCCGGGGGATAGGATCTACTGATACCTACATATTGGGGAGATGGGTACCCCACTCACTACTGATACATACATCTGGGGGAGATAGGAACAACAATCACTACTGACACCTACATCCGGGGGAGATAGGAACAACACTCACTACTGATACCTACATCCAGGGGAGATGTGTACCCCACTCACTACTGATACCTACATCCAGGGAAGATGTGTACCCCACTCACTACTGATACCTACATATTGGGGAGATGTGTACCCCACTCACTACTGATACCTACATCCGGGGGGAGCATTCTCTTCTCACAGAGGTTACTCCTGTCATATCTTCCTACGTAACCTCTGTTCATGGTGTGAGCGTTCAAGACTCGTGATTGGAGACAATCAGATTTAGTTGTGCAATCAGCGACGTTGTTTCAAAAGTGATCATTCGCAAGGCCTCGGTAATTTCCGTATGCTTCGAGAAAACTAAACTTCTTCCCCTGCGCGATGCGCAAACGTTTCTTCTAGACAGAACTCAGCCATGTTATGGCGGATCAGTGGCGTCTCCATCACCCTCGTTGACAACGGACAAGCTAGCCATTAAACGTCTTGTGTGTAACATCAACACAAGTCCCCGGCAGATGGGGGATATTTGTGGCCCCACATTTGCTTGTGTTAGTCAAGTTGAATCTAAGTCGATGTAACAGGTGTTCTGATTGGATAGAAAGAAGGGAGATAATTCATGCTGCGATCTTTTGCCGCTAGGGGATTTTACGAGAACCGGGAAATATGGCCGTATTAGAACAGAGGTTACGTAGGAAGATATGACAGGAGTAACCTCTGTGGGAAGAGAATCCCGGGGGAGATGTGTACCCCACTCACTACTGATACCTACATCCAGGGGAGATAGGAACAACACTCACTACTGATACATACATTCAAGGGAGATGTGTACCCCACTCACTACTGATACATACATTCAAGGGAGATGTGTACCCCACTCACTACTGATACATACATCTGGGGGAGATAGGAACAACACTCACTACTGACACCTACATCCGGGGGAGATAGGAAGAACACTCACTACTGATACCTACATCCAGGGGAGATAGGAACAACACTCACTACTGATACCTCACATCCATGGGGAGATGGGTACCCCACTCACTACTGATACCTACATCCAGGGGAGATGTGTACCCCACTTACTACTGATACCTACATTCGGGGGAGATGGGTACCCCACTCACTACTGATACCTACATATTGGGGAGATGGGAACAACACTCACTACTGACACCTACATCCAGGGGAGATGGGTACCCCACTCACTACTGACACCTACATATTGGGAGATGGGTAGCCCACTCACTACTGACACCTACATCCAGGGGAGATGGGAACAACACTCACTACTGATACCTACATCCGGGAGAGATTGGTACCCCACTCACTACTGACACCTACATCCAGGGGAGATAGGAACAACACTCACTACTGACACCTACATCCAGGGGAGATGTGTACCCCACTCACTACTGATACCTACATATTGGGAGATGGGTACCGCACTCACTACTGATACCTACATCCAGGGGAGATGTGTACCCCACTCACTACTGACACCTACATCCAGGGGAGATGGGTACCCCACTCACTACTGACACCTACATCCAGGGGAGATGGGTACCCCACTCACTACTGATACCTACATCCAGGGGAGATGGGTACCGCACTCACTACTGACACCTACATCTAGGGGAGATAGGAACAACACTCACTACTGACACCTACATCCAGGGGAGATGTGTACCCCACTCACTACTGATACCTACATATTGGGGAGATGGGTACCCGCACTCACTACTGACACCTACATCTAGGGAGATAGGAACAACACTCACTACTGATACCTACATTGGGAGATGGGTACCCCACTCACTACTGACACCTACATCCAGGGGAGATGGGTACCCCACTCACTACTGATACCTACATCCAGGGGAGATGGGTACCCCACTCACTACTGACACCTACATCCAGGGGAGATGGGTACCCCACTCACTACTGATACCTACATCCAGGGGAGATGTGTACCCCACTCACTACTGATACCTACATCCAGGGGAGATGGGTACCCCACTCACTACTGACACCTACACTCCAGGGGAGATGTCTACCCTACTCACTACTGATACCTACATCCAGGGGAGATGGGTACCCCACTCACTACTGATACCTACATATTGGGGAGATGTGTACCCCACTCACTACTGATACCTACATCGAGGGAGATGGGTACCCCACTCACTACTGACACCTACATCCAGGGGAGATGGGTACCCCACTCACTACTGACACCTACATCCAGGGGAGATGGGTACCCCACTCACTACTGACACCAACATCCAGGGGAGATGGGTACCCCACTCACTACTGATACCTACATCCAGGGAGATGGAACAACACTCACTACTGATACCTACATCCAGGGAGATGGGTACCCCACTCACTACTGACACCTTCATCCAGGGGAGGGTACCCCACCCACACTACTGATACCTACATCCAGGGAGATGTGTACCCCACTCACTACTGATACCTACATCCAGGGGAGATGGGAACAACACTCACTACTGATACCTACATCCAGGGAGATGGGTACCCCACTCACTACTGACACCTACATCCAGGGGAGATGGGTACCCCACTCACTACTGACACCTACATCCAGGGAGATGGGACCCCACTCACTACTGATGATACCTACATCCAGGGAGATGGGAACAGCACCACTCACCTACTGATGTGTACCCCACTCATACTGACACCTACACCCAGGGGAGATGTACCCCACTCACTACTGACACCTACATCCAGGGAGATGGGTACCCCACTCACTACTGATACCTACATCCAGGGAGATGGGTACCCCACTCACTACTGATACCTACATCCAGGGGAGATGGGTACCCCACTCACTACTGACACCTACATCCAGGGGAGATGGAACCCCACTCACTACTGACACCAACATCCAGGGGAGATGGGTACCCCACTCACTACTGATACCTACATCCAGGGAGATAGGAACAACACTCACTACTGATACCTACATCCAGGGAGATGGGTACCCCACTCACTACTGACACCTACATCCATGGGGAGATGGGTACCCCACTCACTACTGACACCTACATCCAGGGGAGATGTGTACCCCACTCACTACTGATACCTACATCCAGGGGAGATAGGAACAACACTCACTACTGATACCTACATCCAGGGGAGATGGGTACCCCACTCACTACTGACACCTACATCCAGGGGAGATGGGTACCCCACTCACTACTGACACCTACATCCAGGGGAGATGGGTACCCCACTCACTACTGATACCTACATCCAGGGAGATAGGAACAACACTCACTACTGACACCTACATCCAGGGGAGATGGGTACCCCACTCACTACTGACACCTACATCCAGGGGAGATGGGTACCCCACTCACTACTGACACCTACATCCAGGGGAGATGTGTACCCCACTCACTACTGATACCTACATCCAGGGAGATGGAACACCCCACTCACTACTGACCTACATCCAGGAGGGAGATATGGGTACCCCACTCACTACTGACACCTACATCCAGGGGAGATGGGTACCCCACTCACTACTGATACCTACATCCAGGGGAGATGGGTACCCCACTCACTACTGACACCTACATCCAGGGGAGATGGGAACAACTCACTCACTACTGACACCTACATCCAGGGGAGATCCGGGGAGATGGAACACTCACTACTGATACCTACATCCGGGGGAGATAGGAACAACACTCACTACTGATACCTACATCCAGGGGAGATAGGAACAACACTCACTACTGACACCTACATCCAGGGGAGATGGGTACCCCACTCACTACTGACACCTACATCCAGGGGAGATAGGAACAACACTCACTACTGATACCTACATCCAGGGAGATGGGTACCCACTCACTACTGATACCTACATCCAGGGGAGATGGGAACAACACTCACTACTGACACCTACATCCAGGGGAGATGGGTACCCCACTCACTACTGACACCTACATCCAGGGAGATAGGAACAACACTCACTACTGATACCTACATCCAGGGAGATGGGTACCCACCACTCACTACTGACACCTACATCCAGGAGATGGGAACAACACTCACTACTGACACCTACATCCAGGGGAGATGGGTACTCCACTCACTACTGACACCTACATCCAGGGGAGATGGGAACAACACTCACTACTGACACCTACATCCAGGGGAGATGGGTACCCCACTCACTACATCCAGGGGAGACTGACACCTACATCCAGGAGATGGGAACAACACTCACTACTGATACCTACATCCAGGGGAGACAACACTCACTACTGGTACCTACATCCACACTCACTACTGACACCTACATCCAGGGAGATGGGAACCCCACTCACTACTGACACCTACATCCAGGGAGATGGGTACCCCACTCACTACTGATACCTACATCCAGGGGAGATGGGAACAACACTCACTACTGACACCTACATCCAGGGAGATGGGAACCCCACTCACTACTGACCACCTACATCCAGGGAGATGGGTACCCCACTCACTACTGACACCTACATCCAGGGAGATGGGAACAACACTCACTACTGACACCTACATCCAGGGGAGATGGGAACAACACTCACTACTGACACCTACATCCAGGGGAGATGGGAACAACACTCA